TATAAATCACTTTCATCTTTATGGCGTGACCTATACTATCTAAATCTATATATATATATATTTGATATGAAATATTGTGCCAGACTCTACATTCCTTGCTGGCGCACTTCCTAAACAGATCCTTACTGCACAAGTTATATTTATGATAGTAAATGATAATGCTGATGTGACTAAGGCTCGTGGTGGAAATCACTGGAGTTTATTGGTGTTTATTAGAAAAACCAATAAATTCTTACATTATGATAGTGCTAATGGAACGAATACAAAAGTGGCTAAATATAATGCCATGAGAATTGCTGGGGTACTTGGTGTTACTGGTATATCATAATCTTTTATATTTATTGTGAATAACATAGAGATTTATTGATTAAACTTGAATTATTAATTTTGCAGGTTCATCTTTCCATAATATGAAAACACCTTTTCAAGAGAATGGTAAATAACGATGTTTCTTGAAATTCTGATTTGTATTTAAAATGATTGACCAATAGGTTTCTTCAAACTAAAATATTTTCGCAATTAAACTTAAAGGAAATGGTAGGTAGTTTTAAATTTATTTTGCTTATTAAATTAATTTTACATAGTAATATTTTTATTTTACCTTATAACAAAGAATGCGGTGTATATGTTATTTCAATAACCGAACAGCTTTATCAAAAAGTTATTAAATATTATCAAACGCATCATCACGATGGTGAAACAGAATTTGCTTCAATTTTTGAACTTGAACCAGATAAAATTCCAACTGGTCATGAAATGAGAAAGAGATGTAGAAAAATAGTTCAAGAACTTAGAGAGGTGTATAAGCGAAAATAATTCACCTTCAGAAACTAATAAACAATCTTTCTACAAACTCAAATATGTTCTGTTTTAGAAGTCTCATTTTATATAAACTCGCAACGCGGTACTTAGAGTTTTATAAATTGATTGAATTAATTACATATATACTGAATATACTAATATTAATAGTGTACTTGCAGGCTATACCCATATGAAGCAGGAGGCTTTCTCCCCAGTATCGCCATCAAAATTTTACGGACACGTGACCGTATTTGCGACGTACTGTACCAAAAATCTTCAAAGCATTGTTTTGAATTTCCTGGTCGTGTGACGTTACTCCTGATCTTGAAATATGATTGGTTTGCGCCACAAAATATCACGTGCCCGTAAAATTTTGGTAGGTAGTTGCTTTAAACGACCCTAGCATGACCACCAAGATCAGTTACGTAATCTGTATTTAAAATTTTGATTACCCGAATTCTGACAATTTTAATAAAAAATGATTCAATAAAAAAAAAAGTGAAATTCCAAGTTAATAATATTCCATCCTATTAATATAATTGTAAGTGTTTATTGTTACAGGAATACTTTAAACAGCTTTGATCTTCTGGTATGAAAAAAGTGTTCAACATAATTCTTTATTTAGGCAGTAAAATGTACTTTATATTTCTTCTATTCCATGTTTTTGAAAGACTTTTCACATGCTTCTATCATTTATCATTTTTTGAATCAATATTTGTTAAAAAAGTTTTTTTTATTATTATCAAAAACTTTTCAAGATTATGTGTATATCCAATAGCCTCTATATGAACAAAGTACAATTAATATAATGTGTAATATACGTCGTAAAGGGTCTATTTATAATTTTCTGCAATTTTTAGTTTTAGCATCTGCCTCGTCCACTTTAGCTATATTATTATATTCAGTAATGGTTGAATTCGTATTCAAATAATCAATTGGTGTTAATGTACGTATTATCTTTTATTTGGTATAATAAGAGAATAATCGAATTTCATCGAATAAACTATTAGAATTTTAATTAACGGGTATAATAAATAAATATATCTTTGAAGAAATAAACATCCATTTTCCAAGAGGATTAATAAAAAAAACTGCTTATTAAAAAATAATACCAAAGAAATATGCATTGCTTATTATCTATTTCCATTTTTCTGTATTTTGATAGTATGTGTATTAAGATTTTCCACTCTTTTTTAAAATTATCACGCCCTACGTTCCCTGTATCTATGCCTCTTTTAACCGTTTAATACAGATCTTTTTATTGATGTATGCAAAAAAAATTTCTTTTACATTTAGATATGCTAAAAAGAAAACCATAGTTTCTTTTTTCAAATTATTTACGTATTAATAATACAGAAACCTGCATATTAATCGTTAAAACTCCTTACGTAACTGATCTTGGTGGTCATGCTGGGTTCGTGAGTTGCTTTAGACCAGCGGAAGGTAAATCAATAATATCACTGGAACTTAAAGTTCCAGTAATACTATTGATTTATTTCCAATGGCCTCCAGTAATCTTCCAAGTGACAACACTGCTTTAGACGATCCCCAAAGGGGGTCAATTTATCATAAATCTGGCCAGCAATTGCAATCGAAATCGCAACTGCAATCACGATCATTTTATAAATATTAGTAATCAAGGGGTACAGAATTTTGCAAAGCGCGATAAAACATCGTTGGTATCATGATTAAAATACTGATACGGTTATGATGATTATAAATTCGAATCCTCTGGCTTTTTGACAAACTGATGTCAAGAAACGTGCTTATTTCGATTAAGAAATATGGCAACAATGAAGTTGCAATTAATCAATTATATAATTATATGCAGTAAACCATTTTATATAAATAAGTTAAAAACAAAAATCATTAAAAAAAGCGATTTTTTACTATCCCTATTATTATGGTGCGAACGATCAAATCATTTATAGTAATGCTGAAAATTTACTGATCGCTACTTATATATGATTTGTTGAATTTTGCTTTTATTTTATACTAGCATGAGTATTGAGATTTTTAAAAATCCGCAACTTCTAATTTCGAATATGTAAACTTACACGAGTGAATCCTGAATTTTTAACTCGTTTGTGCTTTAAAATTTTCGATATACTGTAGATATACGTGTAAAAATAATTTCAAGATAGAATTCTAAGACTTTGTGATATATTGTACCCAATGTTATCAATTGGACTACATTGGACATATTCCAGTACTGCGTCACTGAACTACTGGACATAGTAATTTAATAAGTCAGTCCAGTAGTTTCTAGCCACTGGACATAGCAAAGTGACAACACTGAAATTGTACCAATATTGCCTCCCTGAATTTTCGTCTCCATTCCATTACATTATCCTCAATGTGTATCCTGTTATTTATACTAATGACTATCCAATGAATTATCTTTCAACAGTAACATAATTAATTTCGTATGACTCCATGTAAAAAAAAAAAGGAGTTTATTCATCAAATATAGTTATAGAATTGCGTTGACATGAAAAATTTGCTATTTTGAGAACAAAAAAATATAGTATATCGTGCTATTTAATATTGTTATTAATACTATATTTGAAATATACCTCAAAAAATCAATAAACAAATTGATAACATAGATTAAAATAAATTTAATTGAGAATTTCATTTTGGTTGAAAATTAAACCACTCCAATCTTCTTCAATCCCAAGTAAATCACAACTAGTTTTCCACCAGAATGTTTGCTTTTCCTCATCATAGCTTTCATCACTGGATCTATCGATTTGACAGGATTTATTAATATAAATTCCGCTTTTATTTTTAAGTTCTGGTGAAGTGGCGGCATATGATATTACGGCTCCACCCTTCATCAAAATAAGAAGTAAATATTTGATCAAATTGTTTATAAATTATCTCAAAGAATCGAAATAAAAACCTGATCGGGTGTCTTGGTAAATGGTGCCCACGATAAAATATATTTAAGAAATAATTTGGTAAAAATTCCGCTTTCCCTTGCTAATTCTGTTGTCGGACAGAATCCTGGTTCAACTATTAAAACGTCAACCTTTCTTTCCTTCTCACCTTTCTTGTTCAATAATTTATCTAAATAATATCCAAAAAACACTTGTGCTAATTTCGAATTCCTATAGAATAACAAAGGAGAATACATCTTTGATCCATTTAAATTTTCAATATCCATTATTGGTCGATTTTCACCATGTTCTTTCGCTCCGGTGCCAGGTTTATGCAACGAACTATTAACTAAAATAATTTTTGAATCCGGCCCCGATTCGGTCAATCTAGGAAGTAATTCATAGACTAAAATAACATTCGCAAGATGATTGACCTGAAATGTTTGTTCAAAACCATCTTCTGTTTCAGTCAGAGTGGCCTTTACAACACCAGCATTTAAGATTAAGATGTTTACATGAAGTGGTGGTTTTCGAGATAGAATACTTTGAGTAAATGATTTTACGGATGTTAATGAGGATAGATCGAGTTTGAGAATTTCCACTAATTGGTGTGAAGGAACAATGGACTTGATCTTTACTTCAGTTTGATGAATGTTACGTACTGCTAAGATTATGTGGTATGGTGTTTGTTGGTTCAGTAGTTGTTTAAGAACTTCGAAGCTAATATGAATGTACAAATTTTAAAAATCAAATTTAACAATGAATCATTTCAAAATCTTTTAACTATTTTTTTAAGATACCCGAGCCCAGAATTAGCACCAGTCAATATGACGAGTTTACGTTCCGAAACGCCCGACATTTTTAAAATGAAACAAATACGATACCCGATATGTATAACGATAATGTATATTTATATACAACCATAGAAAGATCTACATATGCCTATCACCAAACTTTTTCCCGATTTTTTTTTTTTTTTGAATTTATGTAATAATAATAGTCAGATTAAATTGAAATCCGGAATAAAAGTTTCAAACGCAAAAGTATATGTTAATTTTCCTTGTTGCAAGTATTTTTCGTAATGATTTTAAATCTTATACGTTTAAGAAAATTAAATAATATCTTAACGTTCAAATAAGAATGTATATACGTATATATACATTTTGAATTATTTCTAACAATAGGTTTATACAGTTTTTCTTTTTATTCAGAATGGTAACGAAATCAACAACCAAATGCGATCTAACAAACGAAGAAACCGAACTAATTGATCTTGATCAAATGCTCTGTTCTCTCAATTCCGGTAGCATTAAAAAAATGACACAATCAGACCTTCAACAAATTTATTCACATATTATATCACAAGAGAAATCATTAACATTTCGTCAAATGATTTTTTCATTGGCGAGAGAAATTTATGGGTCAAGTGATTCGATTAATAAAATATTAACTTCTAATTCAGAGATTCTGGGTGATGATTTCAATATAATTATTCAGGACCCTTCTCAAAAAATATATAATTCTTCCACATCGACGAATGATCATATTAATCAAGACGTGCTGAATGTATACGAAGGAGACGTTGTAATGCACAATACCCAAGAAAATAATATAGGGCATAAAGATCTTAATTATGCGTCAAACCACAATAGTAATATTGAACTTACGTCTGAATATACTATATTTCGTGATAATATATTAGAAGCTCAACATCTAGAACAGCCACCACTTTTAGGTCCCATCATAGACCTTGGGCCAACATATGTTAATGGAGAGAAACCTTTGGAAAATTTACGACCTGAAGAACCTGATGAAATAATAATTCAACGAAGACCTTTGATATCTGAATCTCAAAACTTTGTTTCACCTACTGATGAAGAGAATAAAGGTTCATCAGGTTCTCAAGCACAGCCGCGACAATCAAGCAATTTGGCATCAGATGTTCAATCACAAGAACGTAATGATTCTCACTATTTCAAAAAAGAGGATGAAAATTCTCTTGGAACTTTTTTGAATCAAGAATATCAGAGAGAAAAGACCATTGATATAGTTAAAAATGAAGTGAGTGCATCAGATAATTTGGACGTTTTATATAAATTTCCGGATGCATCTATTTCTAGTGAGTCGAATAGTATTGGGACTAAGGAATATCCAATAGTTTTGGATGATGACGATGATGATGAGGATGCTCTTATTATAGTTGAACGTCCTTAAAGTGAATGTATTGTACATTGAAATACAATAGAAACATTATGTATACGTTTACAACCAAATTTCAAATTTATTCAGTTAAAGAATTCGATTTCACTTAAATAAATTTAAATTAACTTAATCAATCAGTTAATAAATCGATCGGAGGTAAGTGAAATTAATATCAGGGAATTCTTTAACTTAAAACTTATTTAGATAATTTTCAAATTTAGAAATGTACTAACGTTAAGAGTGATTAGTATTACTTTATAATATTAATGCCTGATCTGTTAAACCGTTAATTAACAATCAATTTAAAACTATCTGGTTTAACGTGTTCCCAATTTTGTTTAATATATCAGATATAGCTAATTGATTATGTTGTAGTTATATGTAATTATTAGAAGTATTAATCGCTTTATTTCTGATGAAACTAAGCGAGAATTTAAAACTTAAAATTATTATTTTGATGTAATAAGTGAAGCTTAGTTCGTTTTTTCAAAAAGTATAACGTTAAAGAAAAAAACATATAATTAAATTTTTAGACGTTTCTTTGTTCTAATTAATTTTACTGGAGTCCAATGTGTTTGTTTATTTAAATGAATATTCCTTTTTGTTTTGTAAATATTATATCGCTCATAAGCAATAATACTTTACATCTATCAATAATCTTATATCATTTGAAAAGAGTTAAAAATTAAAAACTGCGGTGTTCTGCATTTTATAGAGTTGTTCACGTACCCTGATGTACTTAAAGTGGTACGGTAAATTTAAATAGTAGAATCTAGTTATTTTTACGTGTTTGGTTGTCGTTATCGTTACAGGTAATTTCCTTTTTTTAATTTTTTGTTTGCTCTTATTTATATCGCTGTACTATTATATACCCATATTTTAGCCCTTTAGATACAAAGAGTTGATATACTAAACATGTCAATTGGCTATCGAACAAAATATTTTATATTATTTGAGTATGATTCTTTTCAGAATTGGAAAATAATTGGTAGAGGAGGGATTTGCTCTGTATATAATGCCTATTTAAGAGATATTGAACTTTAAAAAGTTTATATTGTGATGATAACGATATTTTGCTAGATGGATTTTTTTAAAGTATTTATTATTACTACTGAAACATACTATTGTACATAGTTATTCAGTTTGCCAACAATGGTGATCTTTGTTACTATTTACGTAATCATTTCTCAGGTTATAATGACGAAAGATCTTTCTAATGGACTTAATTGCTAGCATAATGCAAGTATTATTCATCGTGATCTTATAAGACGTCTTTTTTTCTTATTTCTCACCTTTTATTACGTGTATTAAAATTTATTATTATTTTATTATTATTTTATTATTATTATTATTATTATTATTATTATTATTATTATTATAGCATGATAGGAATATATTAGTGCATGACGGATCACGGATCTGGCTTATTTAAATCATTAGATAATAATACAAAATCTATTGCTGGACCTTTTCTGATCCACAATATCTCCAAAATCCATTTATATATAAACGAAATAAATCTTTAACCTTGTGTAATCTTCTGGGAATTATCAAGTGATGTACCTCCTTTTAAAAATATATCTGGCCAAACAGACATAGCTTTTTATGTAATGCATGACAGTAGAAAAACTCTTATTATTGGAACTCCTGTTAACTTTATGAACATTTATTGGGATGCTTGGAACGGTGAATTCGTGACAAATTAAATTATATGTGAATGGTTCCAGTTTAACAAGATGATAACGATCATTCAGATTTTAACTCATCTAACCTAAGTAACGCTGATAATAATAATAATTATTGGGCAGAAAATCATAATAAGCCACCGGATAAACCCGTTATCAGGCATGCTGATACTGCCTTATAACTTAATTATTTGGTCAAGGATTTTGAAGTCAGCCTAAAAAATTGAATTCCTTCGGAATTCAATTTCTTAGTCAGATTTTAAATCCTCGACCAAATAAACCAGTTATCATGCAGTGCCTTCCTGATAACTATTTATTATATTCAAGATATGAATTCAACAGGTATTTTATATTTTATTAATTATTAGAATTAAACTTATAGACTCTGCTTGTTTTATTAGTAATTACTTATTTTATTTGCTTTTACAGAACAACGATCCAATCAATTGCAAGTTTTTAACCAAGACCATTCAAATCTGAAATCTAAAAATGTTCTTACTATGGAGTAACTTACTTCAAGATGAACAGATACGAGGAACCACTAATATATTTAACTAAATCATTAGAAATTAATCCAAATAATACAGATGCATTATTATACTGTGGAATGATGAACATATATGAAGAATCACTAACGGATTTAAATAAATCAATTCAAATCATGCAGAAGCATTAGAAAACCGTGAAGTAATTTATCACATGATGAACAAGTAAAAATAACCACTAGTAGATTGATTGGAATACCGTGGAACTACTTATCGTGATAAACAGTTACGAAGATTCACATAAAGCATTAGAAATTAACCAAAATGATGCATTTACATTGCAAGCCGTGGAGTAACTTAACGCGAGATGAACAGATACAAAGAATTAATCGAAAAATTAACCAAATTGTTAGAAATTAATCCAAATGATGTACTTGCGTTAACTGAACGTAGAGTGACTTATCTTATGATGGACAACTACAAAGAATCACTAGTAGATTAAATAAATCATTAGAAATTAATTCAAATAATGCGTTGGCATTAAGTTATCGTGGAGAAACTTATTATAAGGCGAGCAGATACGAAGAATCACTATCAAATTTAAATATAGAAATTGATCCAAATAAGCGTTGGCATTAGCAAAGCGTGGGGCAACTTATCGCATGATGAAAAGATACGAAGAATCGCTAGAAGATCTAAATAAATCATTAAAAATTGGTCCAAATAATGCATTGACATGAAAACAGCGTAAAGCAATTTATCGACACGAAGAATCATTAGAAGATTTAAATAATTTTTTGAACAGACAGCCTACGTTTAGAACTCGTAGAACCAATGGCTCCGCAGCTTGTAATAATTGTAAAACCTCTAATGTTAAATGCAAATATTCGGCGGTGGTCAATGTGAATGATGTGTTAAAATTCGATTATATATTCAGTCCACAAAAAAATGGGGTCTAATAATCAAATAATACAAAAGCATCAGCACATCATAAGGAAGATTATTGCATTATGAACAAATATAAGAAACCACTAGCAGATTTAAATAAATTCTTAAGTTATTCCAAAGAATGCATTTGCATTAGAGCGGCGTGGTGTAACTCATCTTAGGGATGTGAAGTTTTTTGCGATTTACGACAATTTACATTTATAAAGTCTGTAAGTATTTATTCTTTATTATCACAAAATCTCCGCTTCCCTAACTTATCCCATTATGGGTTGATACGAAGAATTACTAACAAATTTAAATAATGATGAATTTCATTATTAGTGCATAGAACAACTTTTTACACGATGAGCAGATACAAAGAATAACTAGCATATTTGAATAAATTGTTAATTGTTAATAAATAAACATTTTCATTAGAAGTAGTGAATAATATTTACATTCATTTGCATTTTACATGAATATATATGTTATACATCGTTTTAAAATTCATGAAGTCATTTTGACATACGATTGTGATCTGATTAACAAAAAAAAAAGAAAGATAATTAAAAAAATTATGCATTAATCTTTATTCCAGCGTTATATCGATATGTTCTATGTCCATACCGAAATACTCAGTCATAGCATTTAATACAGAGTAAATTATTTTTGCGACATAAATAGCGCCTAATTTTACAGTCTGTCCTATAATAGCTTTTGCGTCGGAATTTCTTGTCTTTTGATTGTTGGTCGAGTATAGTAGTAGGTCAAATTTTGATGCGGCATAGCATCCTTAAAGAGGTAAAAACGTCAAATAGAATAATATCAAATGCTGAATATTCGTTAGTGCCTAGTGGTTCCAATTCGTTGGATATAGTTATCTAAGATGTCAACTGTAAAGCTGTTTGGGATGAGCTTTCAATTGGCGAATAACTTGCTTGAGAACAAATTTATGTACAACGATTATAATTTTCATTTTAAATATTATCTTCTCAATGTTTTTCGACTTTAATTACTTCAACCTATGAAGAACCCACATTTAAACTTTAGAAGTTTATGTGTACTTGAAGGGTTTCATAAGAACATCAAGCAATGATTATATTTTGATAATTTTTTCGACTACTTATTGTTATATAGTCGTTGATTATGTCTCTATAGTTTAAGATATTCCAATCGATGTAAATTTTAAAATGTGCCGCGTACAGACAATACATGCTGTACGCGAAGTTTTACCGATCACTTAAATCAGCCAATCAAATCACTGTACGCGAAAAAATTCGAGTATCATCTAAACGGCACATCTCTAGTTGTAATATTCATTTTATTTATTGTTAATTAATTAATAAGCGGTCAGATAGAAGTCTCGTCTTTGTTTGGTAACTTCTCAATTACTTTTGCAAGGCGAAGTAAACAGACCAATATTCTTATGATCTGTGAGAAATTGGAATAAGATTCCACGCCATGTTCAAGCTTCAAAAATTAATATATTAATTCAAAAAAATTTATGACTATATATTTTTTTACAGTGTTGAATATTTTTAATAAAAAACCTAAAAGAGGTTATCTTAATAAAATTTAAAGTCAAAAGTGCCAAACTCATGTCCACAACTGTCTCGTGACAACACTGGTTCTAACTATTAGTATATCTTTCGAAAATGATTTAATGCTCTTAGAAACAATACTATACCAGATAAAATTTGATTTATATATTGACGATAATTTCGAGATATTTATTTTGTTATTTGCACGGGCGATACTCTGAAACGTGATTGAAAACCGCTTGAACTCTCGGATATTGAGGCTTTAGATGGACACTGTCTTGTCGTGTCATATTTTATAGGCACTTGAGATGTGAAAATTGCAAGCATTATATTTATTTTCGTAAAAAAAAATCTAATTTTATTTGATAGATTCCAACGGAGGATATTTTAGACAAATATTCATCCAAATCTTATTTGCAAACAATCGTCTACGTATCATCTTGTGTATATTCAATTAATTGATAAATATTCGAACGTCATTTATGGGCGTTTCACAGGCTTATATCTAAGCTGATAAATTATAAACTATACAAATCGAAATATAGTATTATAGGTCACACAAATCAAAAAACGTTGACATTTGTCACAACACTCTATAACCTTAAAAAAGAGAATATTAATTTTTTGTTGCAGGAAATTTATCCTAGGATTTGAAAAAATATTCTTGGGTTAATTTGATGATCGGACAGGCCCAAATTAATCCCGGTCAAATTATATATAATGCGGGCCAAAATTTTGTCGATCACAGTCATTGACCAATCAAAATCGAGGATATCAAACAAGACGATATCGTTTTGGCTCTCAACGGTTGTTCCGGGTATTCATTAACGCAATTTCCCCAATAAAAGCAGGATGTAGTTCAACTTTTCTGGGAAATTGTATATTTAACGAGTGTTATGTTTGGTTAGCCTACGATTAGGATTTTTTTTATCGGTGCTTCGTATCATTTTTTTTTTTGGATGCCAGCACTAATTTTACATAATTCTGTAATGCCCGAGACAAACTAGACTGATTTTACTAACGTAAGCAATAAGTATAAGATATTGGTTATGCAACGATTAATATCATGAAATTTGTTTTGTCGGAACAAATTTTATGATATTTATCATCGCATGATCCAATATCGATATTATCGTGCAATTATGATCATGATTTACGAGTCGTGGTTGGCTAACTAAGTTTAATTTGGGATTGTTGTGCTTACGTAATAACGTACAAAAAATAACAAGAAAAAAATCTATGATCATAAGAGTTTGCACGATAATCTGAAATAATTAACTCACAGTTCCGGTAATAAATATTCTACCTAAGATGCTAAAATTAACTACAAATTATGTATTAATAAAGATCATTTAAAAAATAATATAAAACATTGTTATTTATTTGTTATTGGTATTTTCTTTATATAAGTATTAAATAATTGTACTACGTATATTTACTATATTATCTATATTATATAAATTTAATAATACGTATGTATTTCTGCCAAAATTCAAACCCAATTTTGATAAATTTTGATGATTTGTCATTAAATGATTACTTATATTTGGTGAGTTTTGACAAATTTAATAAACAATTACGAATATAATCAGTGTAGGTGACACTTGATAAATAATCAAGATTTGAAATAGATTTCATATATGCTATATTTGAGTGCTGCAAAGAAAATCGCAGAACTCATTTTATCGAAATTATAAATACTTGTGAATAAAATGGTTATTTCCTTATATAATTAAATAAAGCTCCGATTCAACAATTGATTTAAAAGGAAATGTTATTTTTAATTCTAAAAAGCTTTCCGTTGTAATTTTTAGACTCTCGGGTTTTCCGTTTTTTTACGGTTTTTAATCCAATTTTTTTAAATAAATTTCCAATTAATACCTTATATTCTTATTATTCTCTGAGAGTGTAAAATATATCAAGTGATGAAAATACAATATGTCAGAAAATTTTCCTGTATGGTCTAGAGTTGCTATATCAGAATAAAGGATGTTTGATAGTACGTATACAGGGAAATGTCGGAGATAGTGGTGCATGTGCATCATTAATTACTGCTCAATTGCACTTTAAATTAAAACCAGGTTTGCTGTAACCTTTATATTGTCATAAGTAATTTACGATAAATGATTGAAGGAAAGCGGATGAGGAAATGAATGTTGACTGACCCTTGTAAACTGTGCAGTCATTGAATTTGTTGAAAAAAGTAGTTGATTTCTCCAATGTAAGCCAAATATAGTAAACCATATATAGAACATTGATTTAGATCAAACTTGGCAAATGCCAACAATTTTATAATGGACTAATGACGACTTTATATAGTCATTATTTTCCCATTGTGTAAGGTTTTGGTTACTTTTATGTAACAAATTTCGAAACTATCGCCATTTGAGAATTATTATAAATTCGTTACCATCTTCCATTTACTCACCAATATCTCAATTTTCATAAAAATGATGATAACTTTGAAAAAAATTTCTATCTGGTCATCTAATCTCCTTACCTTACTCTTCTTCATTGTTCTTCTCGTCCCAAATGCTCAATTACTTTTCATTGATCACCAAAAAAGGGATTTAACACAATGTTCGGGATCATATCACATTACGAATATTACGTTCTCACCAAATCCGATCCCTTTGTATTTATCCTCCTTTAACGCCAGTCTTTCTGGAACGACCGATGTAGCTATCACTGGCGGAACGATCGTCGCGTCGGTATATGGTGTCTCTCAAACACTTCAAATATGCAGTTATGTTATGTGTCCTATTCCTGTTGGTCCTTTTACTTTTAGTGGTACTATAAATGTACCATCAAATGTGTCTTCGTCTTGTTTTGCTCTACAATTTACCGGTGTCAATGTTGAAGTGCGAGGTAAGTTATAAATCATAAATGCTCAATTTATTGTAAGTATTCGAACAATTTTATAATAATCATACTTTTTTTTTTTTAATTAGCTTACGATGCTAGTGGAAGTATTTTGGGTTGTGTGCAGGGCAATGTGCCAATTAGATGCTCATAAAATTTTTTTTTCAATCGATTGCTGCAATGTAATATTTCTTTTCTGTATAATCTAGATATAAAAAAATCAATATTACAATTTTTTAAACTGTTGAGTCTTTTTATAAGACCCAATAAAATGTTTTCATATTATATATACAAGAACCATTTGCGTACGTAAAGAAGGTTGGCAGCCAAGAGTCTATTGTGAACTCTATGTAAATCTATTAAATCCATAATCTCTAAATCCTAACTCAACTTTAAAAAACCGTTTAAATTATCCCATTTTGTGCACTATATATACATAAAAAAATTTTAAGTTGAAATCCCAACTTAACTATTTTTTATAATATTTTTAAAATACAATCCAATTATAATATACGTTTAGTTTAAAGTATGTTCATCTTGCCATTTAATAAAACATACTAATTTATTCGAAAATAATAATACTTGATGCTTGAATTATGAATAAAAATAATTGTGAAAACAGAATATGAATGACTTTTGTAAAAGCAAAAAAAAGATACTATAGAACTAGAAAATTTTGAAACGATAATTTATAAAAAAATTCATGAATGTTGAAGATAAAAAATGTGCAAATAAATTTTGAAATAAATGTAATAATTCTTAATAATCAAGCAAAAACACCAATGCAATTACGTCTGAAACTGCGCAATTGATGAATAGTCATATAGGTATCTATCATAAGGAAAGTTGTAATCAACAATCCAAAATTACTTTGTTTTGTTTATTGATGCGATTGGCATGAAACAATAAAGGACTGTCGTATTGAATTAGAAGTAAAAGATCCGAACAATCTAATTAAATGACTATAACATGAAAAGTATATAGCTTATTATTATTTACAGTATATATAATTAATCGATCTTGTATTTACGTGTGGGCACTTGATCCTCTTACAATTCATCTCGCAAGTAAAGAATGTAACAGGAGGAACCGTCGATGTTACACTAATGATTTTTCACCCGGTGTGCAACATATAAAAAAATCATTTTACAATAC